GGAACAGACCAATTATTATGGAAGTAGTCTCATTTGAGAAATTGATAATGGCAACCCTTCTTAATATGGATTTCAGGGTCGTACCTAAATTCATGCATATGCGTACGAATTTATTCACCTCAAAAGTTAAAGACATGTATTTCAATGAATGTTACCCAAATACGCATTGCGTATAAAAATATAAAGTTGAAAATTTTCAACATTGACAATGCGTATTTTGGAATTTTTGTTTTTTGAAAATAGAATTCCATTCATTGAAAAATTTGGTTTTCTATAAATGTGAACATTTTTCGATCAATAAAAAACAGTTTTCATCAATTTTTACCGTTTTCAATTGGCACAGATGTAAATAAAGTCCATACGTATTTGGGTAATACGGACGTCTTACAAACTCTGTATAGGTGAGAAGGTGAATATTTTTGTACGGAGCGCAATAAATTAGGTACGACCCTCATATATCAATTTCAAATGAAACGAAAAATGAATTCAATAAAATGTCAAGGGCCCCATACACTATAAATCATGCCGATGAACCCCTTTTTGTATATGTGAGATTGACTAGTGTATGGCAAACTCTTCAATCACTATTCCAAAAAATCGATTTTTGTTCCAAAAAATTGCATTTTGAGTAGTAAATTCAGTTGTTTTTTATTCCGTCACAATTTTATTATTTTTGTACACAAAATTATTTACTGACAACTTTCAAAATGAATATTATTCACCAGATTGATAGGGGTTCATTTTCAAAATCAAAACTATTTTGATTTTCTTCATGCATTGTGTGTGTCACACATACACAAATAAACTTTCAAAAAATAACACATACTATGATAAATGCTGTACGGCATGATGTATAGTGTATGGGGCCCTTTACGCATGGCGATTGGCAAATATTCAACAAATTAAAAAGAAATATTTTTCTAAAGCTCCACATTGTTCTCAAAATTTAACTAAGAATGTTGCAATTTATATTTATAGGTTTTATAGGCAGGGAACTTAAAAATATTAAAAAATGTATATTTAAATGATTCTAAAATTTTTGTCACTGGACACAAATGTTTTAAATAGTAATGAGATTTTGTCTAGTGCTGGCTTTTTTCATGCAGACTCAAGGTATACCACATTACCTGCACTTGTGTTTACTGAAGAAATATTTTGTTTTTTTCTAAATTGGTGATTATGTGGTGCAATCGCGCATATTATTTGATTTTTAGTTCATACTAATTATTTTAATGCTTTAGTAATAACGATTAAATTACATCCGTAAAACAAAAAATTATTTTTAAACTTGAACCGAAAAAAAGTCATTTTCATGAAAAATTTAATTTTTGGTACTAATTCTCAACGTGATTAAAATAAATTTAACAGATCATTGCTATCTTATTTTTTTGAGAACAGCAAACTATAGAACATGTTTCAGTTATTCTAAAATTTTCAGTTTACAAAAAATTTACTATACCACATTACCAACCTATACCACATTTGCATCGCCTCCTGTATCTCATAATTCAAGGTCGAACATTGAAAGCTATTTTTTGAAAATCGCCTATTTTTGACCACAAGCTAATTTAAAAAATAAGGAAAATCTTAACTGATAGCATTTATCCTAGTTCATACAATAGCTATACACTCGCAGAGAAACATCCAAAAATTTGGAATCGATTGGGTTATTAGTTTTTGAGTTGGAGAAAATCGCGTTTGAGAAGCCCTCTTGCCGTCACTTGATGCTAACACAACAAATCGGCTATATCTTCAAAAATTGTTGAGATTTGCACTTGTAATTTTATAGGGACATTCTTGAATTGGTGTAGGTTCCAATTAAATCAAAATAAAAAATTGGTTAAGTAAATATTTTACTATTTCTTTTTATTTCAACTTTAAAGACATTTGTCCCTAAAAAGTGCATGATTATTCATAATAATAATATTATTATATAACATATATTATTAATTAAAAAAAAATTCTAAATGTACTAATGGTTTAACTTAAGGGGACATCCCCCATTCTCGATTTTAAATTTTCACGATTTTCATTGGACTGGTAAATGAATACGAATGCATGTTATGATTTGTAACTTACAGCCTGTTTTTGTAAATGTAAAATGTCCATTCGTTCGTCGAAAAAACGAACGATTACTCATTTTGGTTTTCGCAAACAAATTACCGGTTGTAGTGAGTGAGAAATAGGAAAGAGCTTTTGGTATTCGTATTTTTTTGGTTTTTGTTATACAAAACGGTGCGTTATTTACGAACAAAAATGTCAAAAACAAACGAAGAGAAAATACCATTCGTTTAAAAAATAATAATAAAGAAAACTATTTGTTCATTACAATTTGTGTGTTGTTAGTGAAAAGAACGTAACAAATATGGAAAATACTGATGAAATATATAAGAAGAAATGGTTTGTAAAAAATTATATATCCCTATGAAATGTAAAAAATTATATTGAATTGTTTGAACCCCTAGCAACAAAAGGACAACGATTGCCCAATTCCAAAAATTGGTTGATCTCATGGAACTTTACCCACAATTAGCAACTGGCCGTCCTGTTTTCGGATCCAATAAATTTGAAGTGGATAACAAGTGGAATAATGTTGCTGTATCATTAAATGCCATAGGTATTCTCCTTTGGGGAATATTTTGCTTTTCTTTATAATTAAAATTAATTGCAATCGTACCAAACATTTTGAATTTTCTATTTTGACACTTTTTATGTAAAAAAAAACTGTTTGTAAACAATAAACAGAGTTACCCACATTTTGCAATAATTCTATTGGAAAATTTGCAACAAGATACCAAAAGAAACACTTTGGCACTAATGGTTAAAAACGAATGAAAAAGCTCAATCGTTTCTAGACGAAAGCTTTTACAATTATTACAAAAACCAAATTTTCGACATATACGTTTTAATACGAACGATACGTGTGACTACCGGAACAAATTACAAAAACAGGCTGTTACACTTATCCATATACAATTGACGATTTATAAGAGAAATTAGGTTGTTGTTGTTTTTGGTTATTAAAAAAACCTTTTTTTATGGCGGGCGGGACAACTCCTCACTGGAACATCGGAAATTCTTAGGGTGGATCTGGCTCTCGTATGAACAAGGATTATTCACTTCGATCAAAAATTAACAAAATGTCGGACCTTTGAAAAAAATATTTCTGGAAATTCGCCTATTTTTGGCCACAAACTAAGTTTAAAAATAAGGAAGTTCTTCACCGATTGGCTTTATCCTTGTTCATACGAGAGCTATACAATCCCAGAGAAACGTGTTAAAATTTGGAACCGATTGGATAATTACTTTTTGAGTTATTGTGTCCGCCATTCGTGAAAACACTTCTTCGAGAAAAATGCGTTTATAGTTTGAGAATCACTCTTGCTGTCACTTGATGCTGACACAATAAATCTCCAAGAGTTATTGAGATTTTCACTTGAAATTTTGTAGTGAAATTTTGAATTAGTTTAGATTCGAATTAAATCAAAAGATTTTTTGAAAAGTCCTTGCCTTTGACTTATGAATACCCAAGGTGTATTAAATAGGGTGTAAGTGACAATCATATGGTTTTAGACTTTTTTCTTTATTGTTTGTAAAGTAAATTGTCAAAAACATTTTTAACAATTAATTACGATTTACAAAATTGTCTTTAAATTTAGGATTTTGATAAAAAAATATGTTCATAGAGACGGACGAAAAGGGCTTAAATCAGTTTTAAAACCGTTCGCTGATTTGATCCAAATAGTTTATGTTTTGTATCCCGTGTTGAAATCTGTTCATAAATCCTAGCTACACATACGTAGCCTATATTGGAATCTCCAAAAATCAATCCAAAGGTGGAAGTCTTGGATATACTCCTATAGCCAGATTGCACAAGGGCAACACAATTTCCTTGATTTAGTCTTTGGCCGGGGATTTATGTCCTCCAAACATTCATTAAGGAGGCGAAATTTGAAGGCAATTCTTCGAAAAAAAATTGTAATTTACAATATAAGCAACATCACCAGGAACCAAAGGCTACAACTTTACTCCCTAACCTAAAATTGCCAAAAATATACTAACCTAACCTAAAATTGCCAAAAATATACAAATTATTCATCAAATTGTTTTTGTTTATTTTTCCCAAAAACTAATTGTCAACATGACAATTTAATTTCTATAACAGCAATGTTGTTTTTGTAAAATGTTAGTTGTTGTAGCTGATGCATACACTTTAAATACACCTTGATGAATACCAAAACTATTTATTTATTATCTGCATGCCAAACAATTGTTCCGTTCCAGAACCTAAAAGAATCTACTCATTTTACATGTTTTGCAACTTTTTACTCGAAAACCGTTCCTCAACCCACAAAACTGGTAAAACATGAAATTAAATTTAAGAGAGCACAAAACAAAATGGCGTTATCTTTGTAAACTTTTTACTTGAGAAATTTGGCCGAGTAAAAATGGTAAACAGTGATTTGCTGTTATGTTGATTTTGAAGTATTGCCATCTAATTTTGGCATATTTACCAGATTTGCGTTCCCTAACTTTTCAAATTATTTTGTATTCTGAGAGCAATTTTGAAATGTTTCCCTTTTACTAGATTTACTATTAAAAAGTACTGGAACAGACCAAATGTTCTCCATAGCACCAACTCTATTTTGTAACTTTTTGTGGAAAAAAATAAAACATATACGACGACATATATAAAGTGTTGCAGTTTTGATATTTTGATGCAAAAATTGTGTCCTATTCGCATAGGTTTTCCATAAAATTGAGATGAGTTGATTTAATTTTTAATTTAAAGATTTAACGAATAAATCGACATAATGCGTTTTTGCCCTCTAAATATTTATAACCGGATATTTTAGTTATTCGGTTGTACATACGCATATGCGTAGTAATTAAAACATGCACCCTAATAAATGATCTTAAATTCTTAAATAGCCCGATGTGAATAAATATTGCTACAAATACACACATAACATTATACATTTGTACTATTATATACTTACAAATTTAGACATTTGTATTGAAATGCCAAACATGAGAGCTAAAAACAATAGCATTTTCAATGCAGCGGAAAGCTGTGACAATAACAATGATGTCCTCTAGGTTTGTATTTTTTATTGCCTTCTTTGGTAGATGGTGTATCGTTATTGTTTTTATTATGGCTACGTCTTCCATACAAGATAGTGTGTGTGTGCGTTGAAGTGTCCTCTGCTCAGCTCTGATGTATGCAAGGCAGTTTGTGGGGATGGTTGATGGGTTGGATGTCTTTATTCAGATTGCTGACACTGACATAGAGCAATGCTGCCTTTACAGTGGCAATAACAGCACGACGTTGGTCCGTTCGCTGTCCTTGGAATCAGAGCACAATGCAATTTCATGCATTTATCCTTTTGCACACAAACACATCGCACACACAACTGCTGTTTTCATATTTCTCATTTTTATTTGTTTATATTTTTATTGTGTTTCCTTTGCTTTGCTTTTGAATAGTTCAGTTGTAATGTGCACAACAAGCACACACAGCGCAGCCTTTAGTCAATTTGTATTTATGTTTGTATGTATGCATGTAGTATATACATGTCCACGTGCAAATATGTGGACAAGAGTGTGTATGTGTGTGTGGAGGTGAGAGTATGGAATAAAATGTTTGTGTTCTTAATTATTACATGTACTATATACATACATGCATACACAGGTATTGTGCCGTGAGTGTCTGTTGTCATTTGTTGTTCTGTTTTAATTTTTAGAAAATACGCCTAAAGGAAGCTGCGTCACTTGGTTAGCTTTCTATTGTAATTTACTGCAACAATTTGTTTAATTCCTCAAAGGGCCTTCTCTTTCACTTTGTAACAATTGTTAAAACGTAAATGCGCAAAAAACAGGAGACCAATTGTCTGTCCGCGAGACGCCTGTGTATGTGTGTAGAAAGGTATGAAGCAATTGTCGTAGGGGTAATGTTATGTTATTTTCCTGTCGTCTGCGTATGACTGAGTAACGACGCCCAACAGTATGCAAAACTTTTTTCCAATTGTCTTCGCTTTAAACATAAACGCGTGCGAATTCGTGTTTATAACGACACATATTTCATGTTGTTGAAACTATTGTCCAATATCGAGACAGGTTATTTGCTATTTTTTACATTTTTTTGGATTTTGAGACCACGAATGCCATCATCTTTCGACAACAAACATTCTGAATTATATCAATTTTATCTGTATCAAAGGAACATCCACCACCTTGACGCAAGATTTTTTATAGTCGACGGATTATTTAAGATATTTGGTTTCACATGTTCACTTAATTCGACAATAATTTCAAGTGCGTTAACATGATTTTGCGTTAAAATATTTTTATTGAATAATCGTAACAAAAGGGGGTTTTCTTCAAATCGTGCTCTCACACAATGACTAAAGCAAACTTGATTTTTCTCATTTTTCTATTCTTTGTTTCGTCAATTATTTGCTACTTCAACCCCACTAGTATAGGAAATGAAATTACTGTAATGGCGTTGCCATGTACTACGACGAATACAACGCTGTTTGTATGAATTGTATTGTATGGCAATATCAAGAAAAACATTAGTTTTTTGAAATATGTATAGCAAATAATTGTTGTTTGAGGTGTTTCCTAGATTAGTAGACAAAATCTGATTCGCAAATTTTTTTTCGATAAATTTATTTAAGAAACAATTTTATTTGTATGGCTTTATGTGTTAAGTGATAGAGAAAACTATGTACGCTGTTCTAATTAAACAGCAAATCAAATGTTTGTGAATTCTATTTTGATATTGTATCATGAAACACATGGCATAAATATGGAATGTAGTCTCATTTGAGAAATTAATAATGTACAAGTTCCGATACAGGCGTATGGACTTGTAGGGGTTCTAAATCTACAGAGTAGCTTTAGAGCCGAAAGTATTTGTTGCACAAAGACGAACAACAATAAATATGAATATTAGACAACACAACAAGTATACAGGCGATACTTACGTGTTGCTAATTAGGAACTGGTGGTGGTTTGTAAAAATAAAACACTTATTTAAATATTTAGACGCTGGCGGTCTGAATTATGTTTTCTTTATTTAAACAACAATTCTTTATAGTGTTTGCGGCAAAGTATTCTAGCTTTCTGCTTCTTCTTTCTTATTTAGCGATTGGTATTCTCTGATGACGATAGGTAATAGTTGAGGTACCGATAAGTAGACTTATCGATAACATAATCGATGGAACCTCAACAAATAATAATAACCCTTTTAAATATGGAACTCATCTACCAATTTTAATATGAAAAATAAATTCCATAAAATTGGTATGTTTGTCGATTGGGATATTTTCAATAAATTAAATTCATTTAAATTTTGAATGCTGAATGTTGTCAAATGTAAAATTATGAAAAAATTGGAATCATATTTCTGCATGCGACTACCTTGTGTAATTATGCCATGGCATTGCGTATAAAAATATTAAGTTAATAATAGGTCTGTTCCCTTACTGCAAGAATCTACTAGATCTTATTATTTTCTTCGATATCATGAAGGAAAATTCGTTATAGTAAAAAGTTGTAGATTCTTGCAGTACGGGAACAGACCAAATTTCAACATTGACAATGCTTGTTTTATTATTATTTTTTTTTTTTTTTGAAATAGAATTCCAGTCATTGAAAATTTTGTTTTTCTATAAATGTAAATATTTTTCGGTAAAGTAAATAAGGTCCTTGCGTATTTGGTTAATGCGGACGTTCAACAAACCCTATAAAAGTGACAAGGTGGGTATTTCAGAACGCAACGCACTGAATTTAAAAATTAAAAACAATATAATTTTTATCTTTTATTGTTGTGTTATTTGTTATCGATAATACAACAACCACAAGGAGATAATAACATCACCGCTTGAAGTTGATGTGCACTGTACATCGGAGATAAACATATTTTAACTTTCTGCGTGCCCTGACGAGAAATGACAAAACGCGTAACGCGATCATTGTACGGAACCTTTTCGACTTTCAATATAAAAATTCGACTTACGCATCCCTGTTGCTTTTGAATGAACTGAAAGAACTAGTGCGTATTAAATATTGTTCCGATCGTTCATTTCACGGAGTCATTTCTTTGAACTGGTGGTTCCTGAACTATAATATTGACGTGGAAATCTGTGGACATTATGAAGTACCACGGAACAATTCTAATTCTTGGCCTGCTGTGCTTAACTGGAGTTCATGGCTGGGATACCGAGGAACTAGAAATTTTCGATTTAGTCGAAGAAATAAAAACAAACTTTTACGAGTTCATGGGAATCGGCCAAGTAAGCAAACTTTTTTATTTCCATAAGAATAATTAAACGTTTTATCCATTCCAGAATGCAACCAGTCAAGAGATCAAAAGAGCATTCCGTGGCCTTTCCATACAGCTCCATCCTGACAAAAACCCTTCTGAAGACGCGAATATTCAGTTTAGAAATTTGGTTTCCATATATGAAGTCTTAAAGGAGCCGACAAAGCGTGAAAAATATGATAAAGTTCTAAAAGAAGGGCTTCCTAACTGGAAGTCAGCGCTGTACTATTACCGCCGAATGCGTAAAATTGGTTTGTACGAGGGAGCAGGTATTCTATTCCTTATTATCACAGTCGGCCAATATCTGTTTGCATGGGCTGCTTATTTGGAAAAAAGATATACTGCCGAACAAGTGCTAGGATCAAAACTGAAGAAGTTACAGAAAAAGAACAAAAACATTGATATGGATACCATATTGAATGAGATACCGACACCTTCATTAAAAGTAAGTGTTAGGCGTTTTAAATTAACTTTGTTTTTTTTCTTCTTTTTTTAATTCTGCGTTATATTCTTTACAGAATACCTTACCGGTACAAATTCCTATGTTTTTGTGGAATTTGCCAATGACTATAAAGGAAACGTTTAATAAAGCAAATGAATTAAAGGAGATGGCTCTGGAAAAAAGAAGACAGTACGATTATTACATCATAGTATCTTCAGTTACATGTATACATTTATATACTTTTTTATTATAATAGGGAAATAGAAGAGGCCAAACGTTTGGAAGAGCAAGAGAGGGAAGCAGAAGAGCTCGTGCGCCTAAGAAAAGAACAGAAGGAAAACTTACGCAGGCGGAAACAAAATATGAAAGCTCCCGAAAAAACAGACGAGGAATTAAAGGGATTTTCCCAAATACAGGCAAGGGAATTGACAGACAATGATGCAGTGAAACCAGTCACTCAAAAGGTATATACATGTTTGGTTGATATTGCAATGGAAAAATTATGTTATTATTTATTGCAAATTTATAATTTGACTTCATTAAATTGGGACGTTCTTCTACCATTTTTATTAATTATTATCATTTATATTATTTCCAGACTACTCTAAGTGGTGGTTTTTGGACGGATGAAGATTTAACAGAACTTATACGTCTTGTAAAAAAATACCCCGCCGGCATGAGCAATCGTTGGGTTGTAATCAGCGAAGCAATGAATCGAACCGTGCAAGAAGTTACATTCATGGCTGCCAAAATGAAGGAAAACGGATATCGACTACCCGGCCAGACTGATAGCGTTGCTGAAACAATCGTTCAGGAGACGCAACAAATCGTTAAAAAAGAAAAAACCAAACAGGACAAAAGTATAATCATTCCAGAAACAAACTGGTCACAGGAACAGCAAAAAGCTTTAGAGGCAGCTATTGTTAAATATAGAAAAAGTGCTGGTAGTGATAGATGGCAGAAAATTGCCAATAGTGTACCTGGTAAAACAAAGGAAGAATGTTTAGTTCGATACAAGTACCTATGCGAGTTGGTGAAGTCACAGAAAAAATCAGAGGAGTCTGTAGCCAATGAAGTAAATACAGAACAAGTTCCACCTGAAGAAGCGATAGTAGAAAATAAGCCAAAGGAAGTTGCTAAGCCAGATAACATTTCTTCCCCTGTCACTGCCGAGGATTTAGCTGACGAGTTTTCAGGGAAAGGCAAAAAGAGGAATAAACGCAAAGAGCGAAGAAGGCGGGATTTATCCAGTGACGAAGATTCTGATGACGCTTACATATATGAACAAAACTAATTTATATATTTTTTTTTGTTTTACTTAAGTTTTAGTATAAGCAACGATTGCCACCATTCAGCTTGAAGTGCATTTGTATAGCATTTCAAAAAATTCCACTAGTTTTATTTTAATTGCTGTGACGGAAAATAGAACACTCAATTTTTTATAATACATAGACGTTCATAATGAAAACACATGGCATTGAAATTCGGTACAGCATTTGAAATGCTTATTATCGATGTTATTTTCATTAAAACAAGGTAAGTAGTAGGTATGTAATTATGAAACGGCTGACTCCTTACTAATGTCCAGCATTGAGTTTTGTGACATTTCTATTTCGTCGTCATCATCTTCAATTTCCATCTCAAATATAATCATTTTCTTTCGTTTATCCGATAGTAATGAAGCCACCTGAAAAGTAGGCAATATGAATAAGTAATTCACGGTCAAGCGTCTTCTAAAAGATTCCCAACAAACCTTTCTACATCCAGAAACGGATAGGTGCGAACATAGACTATCCATTCCCTTAAAACAGCTACTATCAATTATATCAAAAATACTGTGTACTGCTGAAAAGTCACTCACATTCAGATATTCTTGAGGCAATGTATGCAGGGAGCTATTAGTTTTGGCTTGATCGAGAGGAAATTGCACGAAATAACTTTGCGATTTTTCCTCGCCTTTGTTTACGAGCAGTAGGGAGATTACACCATCATTGTAAAACTGTAAATCAGCAAAAGACAAACTCTCCAAATCACTCGACAATTCCTTTGTAAAGGGACCAGGAAGGCTTTGCAAGCGGAACATTTGCATTTGTGTGAATTTGCTATCGAATCCCAAAATTAAACACTCTTGCCAGCCGATGGTAACTGCTACGAGATCAAGTTTTTTTGATTCGCACACAAAGTACGACATTTTAATAAATTCATAATTATCTTCTGGACTTTTGGTTAGCTGTCGGCACACAAAGGTTCCATCAAGCTCAAAACCCGCACTAATGCTCTCATTCGGTTTCTCAAATACCAAATCGATAGCAGCAAACAGTTTATCCCTCTGTTGTATCAGAGATAGGTTCTTTTCGTGCGGATAGAGTAACGTGGAATTACGTAGACATTCATGTTCATCCAGCAGTTTCTGCCACATGTGATGCATATCAGTCTTCAATACTTGTTGCAGGGGTTTATCCTCTAGGTACTGTCCCACCTTTTCTAAATTAAACTTTCTTTTAGTTACTGAACCGTCGCCTGAAAAGAGACTTTTTTGGCATATATTCGTTCGTTGTAATTCGAAAATACCTTACTGTTCTCAACAACACTATCCTCAAAACTATTTAAATATTCGGCCAAATATATTGTATCCTCCATAGACAATTGGGCCATGTCTTCGGTAACGTCCTGTTGGTGTAGACGTACTATAACCACGCAGAGCCATGAGAAGAACAGTTTCATGTCATTAACCGATTGATCAATCACTTGTTGAGTTTCCATAATTTTCATTAGAAATGCTCCGCACTGGCGAACAGCAGTCTCAGTAGATGTTTGTATTAACAAGGGCTGTTTTAAAGAGATTCGACTAATATATAATACTAAAATATGTTTTTTAGTAATTAGTAAAAACTTACTTCAAAGTAATGTAGCACCCTTGCTAAGCCTTTTATGGTATTTAAAAAATAAAACATATTTATTGTAGCCATTTGCAAAGGCTTAGAAACCAAGCTTTGTATTGTGGAATAGCTAAGTTCTACGGAGTTCTGAAGCTTTTTAACTCCCTTCTCCGTAAGATCTCTGGAAGTAAAGAAACTCTTTAGATTAATATACCATATAATTTCCTTCTTTTCACTAACATGTACAGTACATGTACTAATATATATACTTACTGTGTGAGAAATTCTTCGATTTCATTGGTAGCGTAACCAAATACTAGCAACTCCATAAAATCAGCGGACAGAAATCCCTCTATTTGTTTATTGGCATAATTTGTAAGCTTATTGTCCATTTCCAATAGGACAGTCTCCCACGCTTCCAACATGCATTGAAGTGTATTGTTAATATAGCTATAAGTTAAAAACGCATTCAATGTCGCTTCATAATAAAAATAGAGCTATAAGTTCGGCATACTTCTTTGTTTCCAGTATGTTAGCGCAGTACTGTGCTAACTTCATCATAGGTGACATATATTCGCTAAAGACTGGATTACGAAAATGCAATACGTTTAACTGGTTTCCATATCGCACCAAGGCATACATCGCATCGAAATCTCCACTAAGGCGAACATCATACACTTCCAATTCTTCGGCGAACAGTACATGTTTCGATAGATCTATACAACCGGCCTTTAGTGCCCCTAAAAGTAGCAGGTGAACTTTTCCACTTTTAAGAAGTACAACCAAGAAGCTAGGAGTTCCCTTAGCAAAAGATTTGTGTTCTTGTACTTTTGAAGAAACTCCCAAGCTATTAAGTTGTGGTAAGGACGGGAGAAAAAAATCGTGAGTGATCTAAAAATGAAATTTCAATTTGTTAGTATTTTTTATACATGCATATAATATTTATCTGTTCCCTTACTGCAAGAAACTATTCGTAGATTCTTACAGTACAGAAACAGGCCAAATACCTCTGTTTTATTTCGATACAATTGACGAAAGTCAGGTGTGTTGATGGGCTTGCTGAAATAAACATTTTTAATTTCATCATCGTAATTTAGATTTGAAATGCATTCTTCTCGTTCTACGTCTAGCAAAGAAACCTGGCCATTGCTGTATCCTTTGAATTCAAAGAAAAAACAAAAACAACATGACACTTTGAATGAGATTTAAAAGTTTTAAAAGCGCCAATTCACAAACATACCTACAGCAACTACTGTCTCATCATGCTGCCAGCTGAGCCCCTTTACTTTTATGTCCTCACCTGGGGACGGAAAGGTAACTATCTTTTGCCAGTTCAATCTCTGAATAACCACTTCTCCTGTTTAAATTAGGAAGAATATAGAGATACATCGGCGTATGTCATATCGTCACTTATTACCCTTTTCGGTGCCATATGCTATTAAATCCATTTTATTACTCCATTCCATTATGTCCACGGCACAGCTCATATGCCGGGCACCAATTTGTTTCATTGACATTGACTGCGCCATCTCAATTGCCTATAATCCAGGATCCCTGAAAACACTAGCCGCTATAAAATGATTATTCGTTACGATATTCACTGTAAAATGACCACCGACACACAAAAATCACCACTGTAAAATGTTATCCATGGGTAGGTATTCCATCATGGTACAATTATAAAAGGTAACAGCAAATCCCAGCTGATTTGATTCCAACGTAATACTAGTGTCAATATGAATTTGACAAATTATGTTTTTAAAAATCACCCAACAGGAATATTGGGAACGCATACAATTTGAAATTGTTCTTTATTAATGTGCTCCGTATTCAATTTACTCAATCTGCCTGCTGGGAAAGTTTGAGGAAGCAAATCTTTCTTGAAGGAATAACTCACTATTCCCAGCATTGTCATATGTGTTACCCATATATATGACAATGGCTCAATTAAAGGAAAGATGTGGAAGCGATAGAAATATAAATTTGATAGATTTTCATTCATGTTATTCAATTTTTATTTTGAGGATTCGAAAATATTCCATTTTCAAAATAAAAATAATAGATAGAAATATAAATTTGATAGATTTTCATTCATGTTATTCAATTTTTATTTTGAGGATTCGAAAATATTCCATTTTCAAAATAAAAATAATTTGATGATAATTTGTTTGTTTGTTTACATTTTTCTGTCAAATGAGTTGACACTAGTAGAACTTACAACAACAAATTTCCATGTGGTTGTTGTATAGTTTTTTGTACAACAACACTTGCTGTTACCTTTTATTATTATACCATGGTATTCCATTTAGCTCAAGGTAGGTATACAAGGGAGCCGCATCGGCGAATTTCTACAACAAACATCGGTTGTTGTATTTTGATATGTCAAACATATTTTGCCAAAACAAACAGATTGACAATATTTTTTACACAAATTCTTGTAGAAAATGTTAATAAAAGAATTGCCAAACAAGCTCTTCGAAATTCGGAGATTTTCATTTATAATTTTGTTTTTTTTTTATCTTTGTTGTATTAGTTCGGCTGTAGGCTTTTTAAAAGTAAAAATCGTTTTTAATTTTGATTTTTAATGTTTATTGTTTCCAATATTTCGATTGGATTCTCCAATCATCCTCAGGGAACTACAATTACATATATTTTAACAGAATTTTGAAACAACAATAACAATATGTAAATAAACTTACTTGAAGAAAGTTATGTTGTCTTTAAGTCAACGTTCTTACTTCAACTAAAGTCTACCAGATTTGTATTTGTTTACTGTGTGTCTATAGATTTGAGCGCAGTTGTCTGTGTCGGTTTTATAATTGAGTCGAGTGTCAAGTGGAGTGTTGATTATGTGAAACATCTCAAGAGTAAACCTTTTTTGATAATTACTTTCTTGAGTTAGAATTTTTATGTCATTAAAATCTGGGGTATGTCCTGTTTTTGTGCAGTGTGCTGCAAGGGCTGTTTTTTGCTCTATGGGTTTGTACAGAGCTTTTTGATCCGATTTATGTGCGGATATTCTTGTCTTTAATTTTGTCTTAGTAGTGCCAACATATACCTTTTGGCATACGTTGGACTTGTCTCCCTTATATTTAATGCGGTATACTACGTTGGATTTCTCCTCGTCTTGTATTTTACTTTTTAATTTGCTGAAAAGATTATTCAGCGTGTTTGTAGTTTTAAATGCCAGCTCAAATTTTGTGTTGTCGTAAATGTTAGAATGTTTTAATCTTTCTGAAAACCCACGTGTATATGTCATAGTTTTGTAAATTTTCTCGCTGTTGTCGCTTGTTTTCTTTGTCTTTCCTTTTCTTGCTCGTATCATGAGATTGTCAATAGTTTTGTCCGGAAAATCATTTTTCTTCAGGATCTTCTTAATTATATTAATGTTTTTGTTGTGATAGTCTGGATGGCTTATGTCTAAAACCCTATTTATGAAATTGGATGCAGTGTTGATTATTGTTCTTCTCGGATGTCTAGATGTGAAGTTAATCAGTCGTCTCGACGCTGTAGGTTTCTGGTACCAGTCTAGTTTGAGATGGGGTCCAGCAATTTCTCCATAACTATGTCAGCTATGACAGGGGAGGCTGGAGAGCCCATAGGCATACCTTTATTTTGTTTAAATATTTTGTCGTCATATATGAAATATCTTGTGTCCTTTATACATAGCGTCAGAATTTCCATGAACAATTCTTTTGTCATAGATGTATATGTTTTAATTGTATCCCACTTATCTTCTATGGTGTTGAGAGCAAAATTTACTGGTATGCTAGGGAAAAGTGATACAACGTCAAATGAAATTAAGATTTCGTCGGGGTTGATCTTTATGTGCTCAATTCTTGTTTTAAAATCTTTTGCGTCTTTTACGTTATATTGCGAATTCTTTGTCAGGTTCTTCAATATGTTGACCATATATTTACAAAGATCGATAGCTGGGGAGTTAATTGTGGAGCATATAGGTCTCAAAGGGGTACCATCCTTGTGAATTTTGGGTAACCCATAAAATCTTGGCGCAGTTGATGTCTTATTCGTCATTTTATATTTTTCGGTTTCATTAATTATCTTTAATTTAAATAATTTTTCCACTAGAGAATTGTTTTTGTTTTGTAATATGTTCGTCGGATCTCTCTTTAAGCGTCGGTATGTGCATATATCTCCCAAAATTGCTGCCATTTTCGTTTGATATTCATTTTTGTACATGGCTACTGTTTTCCCACCTTTGTCCGCACTGGTTATGATCAAGTCATCATTTGTTTTTTAATTTTTTGGTTCAACATTACAATAACATTTTTGACATTTATTTGCACCAACAGCTGGCCCGATGCGGCTACCTTATTAAATATACCTTGACTTAGCTCAGCTGACTATCCGATTGACTGTCAAAGCTTACAACGTTACCTAAAATCCGATGGGGCGTACAAAAATATTCAACTTCCCCACTATGGCAAAATGTTGTGTACGGCCGCATTACCCAACTACGTCGAATCCATATCTTCAAGCAAATAATACAAACCGCAAAACAAAATTGAAAATTTATTAAATTAATCCACAAATTTTTAGTTTCCATTCGAAATTTCATATTTCCTGAATGTTTGTGCTGGAACCGAAAATCATTAGGAGAAAGTTCATTGTCGTTAAAGGTGAGGTAAATATCGTCTGCACTCATGTTATTCACCATGGCATAACTATACAAGGTAGTCTCATTTGAGAAATTGATATGGCAACCCTTCTTAATATGGAATTCATATATCAATTTCAAATAAAATGAAAAATAAATTCCATAAAATGTTACGCATGGCGATTGGTAAATTTTCAACAAATTAAAAAATATATTTTTTCTAGAGCTTCACATTGTTCCCATGCCTCTCTTTCCCACACCTGCCGACCGAGGGGGCGACCTCCCTTTACGTAGGGATCGAACGTACACACCATGATCCATATCATGATGGAATTTGAGAGTGGAATAGAAAACCAGCTACAGAATCTACTTCAACAGCCAGTTTGTTATTAAGTTTTACTACTCATTTAAAAATACAATAATATAATTTTTTTTTGTTTTTGTTCAGAGTTTAAGTCAATACACATTTTACTAAAGCTTCATTTACAGGATTGAAGGTCTCTTCAAAATTTTTCTTCAAAATGCTTCAAACTCGTGTGAACAGCTAAATTTCTTCAAAATTTATTGAACAAAACTTTTGAAGATGTTATTGATGCCGTGTAAATAGGCATCAAAATCGCATCTGGCAATATTGATGACTAGAAATATTTTGACAGCATGTTCATTCTTTTGATCAATACATATCATATGTTTTTATTTACACATTTTTGTTGCGGCAAATGACAATGGAATTAAATCACTTACGAATTAAATTATAATTAATAAATTAATATGAGATGGTAAGAGAACGTCAGACTTATTGTCAGGCGTTCTCCGGGGCATATAGATTCCCTAATATTAGTATTGGCATTTTCTATTAATGGGGGACTAGTCTGGTGACATTCGTACAAAGTTTTTGTATAGTTCTGAATCATTCCGTTTTAATCGCTCCCTAAAAGAAACACACACCATCACCTTCCAAAAGGAAAGGCCGAACCCAATTTTGCTTTTGTTTTCTTCTTTTTTTCATTGTTATCAGCTACTTCTTCCTCCAATATTAAAAAATGCTGATGGCCGTGTCGTCGTCCATAGTTACTAATACTAAACTATTTCTCAAAAATAATCAAAACAGCTGTTCAAAGTCAATATTTTCAATATAAAAAATTACCAATAGTGTAAATTAGCTTCAAAACATTTTGACCAAACTTTGATCAAAATATTTTGAAATATATTGATCAAATTTTTGAAACGTGTAAACAGGACTTCAAAATACATTTTCAAAATTTTGATAAGACTTCAAAATGCCTTCAACCGTGTAAATGTAGCTTAAGAGGATCTCCCATAGAGTAATTCGTGCGGTGGAAGTCCACATATAACCAAAGACATAGAAACCTAAAGACTCGACAAAATGCATTTTGACAAAATAGTTTATAAAAAATATCCAGGGGGAATCAGGTATAACAGAGGAATGTTATTAAAGAGAACAATATAATATAATAAGAGAGAACAATATTAAACGTTGTTAATGCTATATCTTAAGCTTACTAAATAAAAAATATTTTTTGAGTGCAGATCTCTGATTTTATTTACATTTTATACACACATTATCGCGTATTTGGGTTTTTATTGTTAACATGCCTCTGTTATGCCTGATTCCCCCTGGATATTTTTTCATACACTATTTTGTCAAAATGCATTTTGTCGAGTCTTTACGGTTTCTATGTCTTTGATTTAACAGTTGATATTGTCTACTAGATCGGACAGGAACATTTATTCTAATAGAATAAATTAGAAAATCCGAAGGTATATTACCATTTCATATTCATAGTGCCATCATAGTATTCAACATAATACGTCTACTTTTCAATGTAGACAAATGAATTAAATTTAACCTGCTAGTATAAGATGACAACACAAAACTACTATTCCAAT